CAGTCAAGAATGGTTTATCCCCTATTGGGCTTACAGAGAATTTTCACGTGAAAACAGGAATTAAAAATCTCATTAAATGCTTCGGTACAGACGAGAAAGGACGTAAATAATGCTAAAGAATAAGATGAAAATCACAAGAATTCCATTTCATTACATTTGGTGAGATGAAAAATTTCTGTGAGCCGAAGTTTGGACAGAAGACCCTGATATCAAGACTTTCATTGTCAAAGTTCGTATTGCCTTCGATAAGATTGCTCTCCTTTGCACGAAAAATGCCTAAATTTACTCCTTTTCAATCAATCAATCATAGAAAATGGGAAAATAAGCGATATTTTTGGATAATGAGTTGAGTTTTCCGAAATGGGCATTCGATGACATAAAATACGTGCAATTATCGATTTTCATCCAAAACATTCATGGTGGATGCGGGTATTTAGAAATTTGTGATTCAAGTATGAGTACTACATTCTATTTGATCTACTGAAAATACGCACAAATTGACGACCTTCACTGACATGAGTCGCTATTGTCCGGTAATTGTTCGTTTTACAGATATACAATTATTGCAAGATATTGTATAAGGATGATTAAGTCCTGTTTTCGGCAGTTAGTATCATCGAACCCGCCTATAAAACTTCGAATCATTGTATTAATTCGTAAATGGAATGGTTCTGAACAAATTTAGCCAGTTATGCAAATATGATTACCGTGAGGAATATAACAATATATAAGTGATGCATGATGAGACCATGGAATTATATGGGAAATGATAAATTTGTACATTCGGTGGTTTTACAGCAAAGATAAATCGCGGATTTCGGAGAACTGTTCTGAAATAAGTAAAACATACATGTATCAAAGGAAAAACTTTTTATTAAAACGTTTCAACCGTATCGGAAAGTCCTGCGTGAGTCCAACATAATTCTAGGTGCCGGAAAGGATTTTGAACCGCTAAAGATTGACTTTGCTATCCGACTTCAATGAGTAATTCCTGTATCANAAGAGTATATATGTATACTATAATTATCGTAAAATATTCCATAAAGACGCTTAAGTCACGATTTTTGCGGTTAGTAGTATCTAACCCACCTATAAAACAGCGAGGCATAGTACGGATCCCTTAATGGACTGGTTCTGAAAGAATTGTCCGGTGTTGCAAATGAAATTATTCTGTGGTGAGTTTATCATTCCTAGGAGGAAGACATAAATGACGTGAAAAATTACCGGATACGCATGCCTGACAAGCGAAAAAAACCACGAAACCGGTCGTGCGCTTCCAAGGAAATTTGGTCTAGTCATTCAGTTGTTCGTTATATGTGTAAATAAAAAGGTTTGCGGGAATGGGAGAGAGGAGGATTTTTCTCACATAACTTATGATCAGTTAGAACTTTCAATCAGATCCGTGAACCGCTGATTGTGTTTCACATGATCAGGGAAAATCTCTTTTCATTAACGGTATTCTGCAATAGTTGATTGATCAATGTTTGAGCAATGCCTGAGGCATGAATAATTATTGCATCAGGTCATCAAGATCTACTTTGAAACGTGCTATCGGCATTTAAACGAACAGGTGCTTGTTAAAGAGAATAACGCATTCCCAAAAGGATGGTAAAACTAGGACAAAAAACTACTCCAGTGATTGCGAGTGCTTGTACTAATCCACAGGTGTTGAAGATGGTTACACTCAACAGACCAAATAAAGTCCGATAATCGCCTTTTGTACCCAGAAATAGGAATATTAAACAGAATCAAGTGAGTTCGAGATAAATTTCGATTTATGTTGAACCCAGTAGAGAGAAAGTAATTTCGGGAAACGTTTGTATATCAATATCAGTTTTTCCGACAAGCATACATCAAGCGATTATCCTTTTTGCGTAATATAGTTGAAGCAAGTGACAATTATTCATGTCGTTTCAAGCAGTGCCAACCGGGTACTTTCTGCTTCCGTGAAGTGATCGCCCTATTCAAAATTGTACAAGTATCATTTAAAACTGCAATTTTGACCGCCCACTGTTGTCACACACTGAACAAAAAGAACAAACAGCTAGTAAGATTGCTGAAGCGACTTGTGATAATGTTGATGCTGACGATGCTGAGAATGATGTTGATGACTTCGATCATGACGACGATGATTTCGATGATTATAACTGGGATGATGACTCGGATGATGATGATGATGTTGATGAAAGTAATAGTAAAGACTGTCCAGCACATGGTTCCGCTTTGTCCTCAATTCAGACAAGCAAGAGCATTCTGACTCTAACTTGTGCATCCGAATCTACTTACCCGCTTAGTTTTACGGCTTAGTTAGCAGACCCGGTTCACTTGTTTCCCAGTTTATTGTCCTTATTTGGTTTGCTTGGAATCATGTACAAAATCGCGTGATTGATTCCTAACTTATCCCTCATTGGGATATTGATAACAACCGGAACTGCTTTTTATCAACGATTAATTACCCTTGAACAAAATGACTCAGCTATCAGA